AGAGCTCCCAGGAGTATAGACAATTGTTGGCTTCCTTCCCCTCCGTCGACTTCCTCTCTTTAGCTTCATTCCGTTTTCCAATAGACCAGTAATCTTCTGCCGAGATTCCTCGAGGTCATGCTTGAGTTTCTTGTTTTCCTTTTGGAGCTCGACTATTTGGTCCGGTAACTTATATGAGTAGCAGAAGTGATGGGAGCTTAATAGTGGTGCTGTGGCGATGGAATCGGTTACAACCATGAAAGGAGGCTCTCCGCAAATCAGGCGCGAAGGCGACAACGCAACTGTAAATTTTAGATGCAAGGAGTCCTAGATGTTTAGAAATGGCTACAGCATGTAACGTGTATAGGATTAGGACAGAGATCAACGTGTGCACAAAACTTAATTTGTTTGAAGTTCAAGTACCCCTCATATTTCTCGGAGCGGAGTGTTTCTCGACCTGCAGTGATGGACGTTAGTGAAGAGAGACCAGGGGTTGCAGGCAGCAACGGTGACAAAACAACAGGTGAACCTTGTCCAGCTGAGAAGTGAACCCTGTACAGCTGAGACGCGTAGACAGACGTGCGTAGGAGCATTCCAACTGGCTGCCAGGAAGTGAAGCCATCTTGAAGAGAAGAAAGGCACATTGACCACATCATCATCACAAACAGCGGCGCGAGGGCTCCTTTTGACGTACGAATGAGGCACGGAAGTTGTGAAATTATTCTTCGACTAATTTCTCACGCGTGAAGCGATGGATCGACCGCGCTACCTGGCTGTTTTAAGTAAGTTACTCTCAAAACATAACGTAAGTTAGTCGGTAAGCATGTGGCCCACGCAAGCATGTGGCCCACCTACCCCACAATGAGGCTATAGAAACACGAATTACACAACCACGAACAATTATCTTTGGTGTTTCTATCTACTAGCTAGTTGCCTGCCGTCTAGGGCACGTACGAGCGTTGTGTTCCAGTGATTCGCACAAGCTACACTTAGGTGGTGCACGCTGCCGTCGCTCTGCTGGCCCCTCTACTGGCCCCTCTGCCGCCCCCTCCTGGGCAGCTTGTGCACGAGAGGCCCCCTCTGCGCCTGATAGAACCCCTCCTCTAGCTATATATGTACGCTTCTGTTTCCTCTTCCTTTTTTGGCGTTGATTTTCTGCGCGTAGCCTCTCATTTTCGCTTGCAAGCAGCACAGCGCTTGACATCGCCATCTCACACCCCTTAACAAGCTGCGTGAGGGCTTGCTCCGTGGGGCTCGGTGGGCTCTGCGTACGGCGCTTAAGATAGCGCTTTAGCAAGGCTGTTTGCTGCTCTAATTGAGCAATATTGTGTGGTGTTTCGGCTGCCCAGGAGGATCTTGAGCCTGGCCGGCGTGGTGGCGATGGCGTCTGATATTCAGCGTGTAGCTGTGCTAGCACGCGCTCAGGGCTATATGGCACAAGGCCAGTAGCTGAGAATCCTGCTTGTATATTGTTCTGATGTAGTGCTTCCTTTCTAGCGTGCTGATATATCGGCAGGAATTCGAGCTTGTCAATATGATTGACGCCGCTGGCCATCATCTGTTCGACGCTGCGCCCATATGCCCGCTTAAGCGCCGAGAAACAGCCTACATCTAGCGGCTGTAGTAGATGTGATGAGTGCGCCGGCATGCAGACAATCACAATCTTGTGATCCAGGCAAAATTGATCGAATTCGGGGTTGATATGGCTACCATGGCCGTCCAATACAAGCAGCCGATGCGTGCCAACAGTGCGATCCTTTGTATGCTCATGGAATAGATGTAGCCAGGTTAGGCCAATCTCATTCGTCGTCCAGCCGTTCTCACTGACCCCAATTGACCAATCTGGTGGAATAGCTTGATACCAAGCAGCCTGGTGCATCACAGCTTCGAAGATAACCAGCGGTGGAATTGCTGCCCCCATCGCATTAATACACTCGATAATTGTAACCCACTCGCGATTGCCTGGCTGTACAGTTCTAGGCCGACCAGCGCGGTCGGTTCCTGTAACAACTCGTGCAGTCGCAATCACACCCATCTGGAAGCCAGTCTCATCAAAATTCCAGGTATCCTCATCTAGAATCCCATATTGTATCTTAATGCCTTGTATAAGCTTGAACCAGGCCCGTATCAGCACAGGACCTTCGCATTTAGAACGCTGATAGTCGTATTTTCGATTGAATTTGGCCTGCAGGTCGTCGTGGCGTTTGACGTAGTTACAACATGAAGACGATTGTCCATGTCTGATCTCAAATCCGACCTCCTGACCACCGATACATCTTACGCCCCTCACACTCCAAACACTACCATTTTGCTTCGGCGGGCAAGCAAGGGTATGAATGCGAGTCTTGGTAGTTATTCCAGCCACAATTACGCCATAGACTAAGGCACGTGAGTTGCTACTATACTAAAGAGTACTTCTGGCTAATATTGATGACTTCTCAGCCGATCTGTCAGACTTCAATCCGGGACTAGCTGCAGTAGAAACTACTGGCCCTTCAGACTCGCTACATCCAGGTATTTCCAGCTCTTCAACTGTACAGGCTAAGAGTTCCTGGCTAACATGTGTGCAGATGGCGGAGATGACCTACCACAGAGCCAGCAGCCAGGCCAGGAAGGGCCTTGCCCGACTCCAAACGATGAGATGGACTTAACCGTACCTATGTTGTTCGATGGAAGTAGTCCAGGTAGGTGTATTGATGGCGTTGCAGCACTGATTTGCTGATTAATGACAGAATTTGCTTTCGTTTTGGATGATGTTGCAGCCGGAGCAAGCCATGGCATGGACGACATCCAATCTAGTGGCCAATCGCGAGAATATCAGGATAACGGCCTGGATGCAGCTAGCATGCGCGCATCTTCTGCGGAGAACATGGCAGCCATGCGTAATGGTGAGCATCCTCCTGCAGATTCAAGAAACCCATTTTAACGCCCTTTGAAGACAGTTTCCCCAAGCAGGACGCACCTTACGATGATGTTGCCATGAGAAACCGGCCATATGCAACACGCAAGCGGGAGTACGCCGATGATCACACCTCGGAACTGGCCTCGGAAGACTCCCGTTCAGCAAAGCGGCGGTCAGCCCAGCCACAGGCAGAGAGCCTTTCACGTAGTACTGTGCGCACACCAGCGTCGACGACGACGCCGCCGCCGCCGCCGGCCCGCGGCAGCCATTTTTCGCCTCTCAGAGTCAGCAACCCAAATGCTAGTGGCGGGGACGGTGGCGGCAAAGACGATGGCGCCGACACCTCCAACCTATCTCGAAGCGACCTCCTTGATTTACAGAATGGCGGCGATGGCGAACAACACGAGGGCGCGATAGAGAAAGAGCTGCTGCATTCCTCAAGACAATCAATCTCTCCGTTTGAACGAAGACCGGGCGATCAAGACTTCAGTCCGTATTTGGAGATGGGTGAAGATGACAGCGACGTCAGCGATGGCGAAGTTGGGGGGAGCCATGAGGACGAACCCAGTCAGGCTGATGACTTGTCAGTGACAAGCAATCGCCGTTTCCGGACGAAGGGGCGCGGCACGTCACAAACCGCTCTTAGACCACGGGATTGTAGCACGATGCGCACGACGAGGTCTCGACAAGTGATCCCGTGCCAATCTCAACACCTGTCTAGGCCCGGAACAGATAGGGTGACTCGGTCTAGCTCCCCACAAATATCCCCGCAAATATCCGCTCCAAGAGGGACAGCTATGAACGAACCCAGCATTAATTATGGACTTAGCGCCAACCAGGCCTACCAGATAGCTGATATTACTCTTCACCCTGTGCCAAACGCCTTGTCGATTGTATCAGCAATTGTCCGTTGCAACAAGTCGAAATTGCCTCTAGACATGATAGCGCTTGATACCAGCATTCTTGGAGAGAGAGGTCAAGTCATCCGGATAGCCCAGCTATCGCAGGATTCATGGTTGTTACTGGGATGCCGATATGACAACGCTGCATCAGACTCACCTCCTCGTCGGAGCTAGACGGTGCTCAGTCCAGACCAGAAGAGCAATTCTTACAGCGAAGCTGCGAATCATAACGCTGACCATGCAGACAACTACATGGGCGAAGAGTATGAGGACGAGGATGAGGATGCAGACGAAGACACAATGGGATACAAGCCTCATGCTATGGGCCCTAATCCGGGCAATATGCGTCTCCCCAAACGAAAGCGAGCAGCGTGGTTGGAGTCGGACGACCAGCGGTTACTCGCGTACAGGAGAAACATGGGCATGGAGTGGAAGGAGATATTTGAACGCTTCCCAGATCGGACCCCAGGCGCAGTACAGATACGCTATCACATGCAACTAAAGAAATTTAAGCTACAAAAGAAATGATCTATCGCTACAACAACAACAACAACAACATCGATTTGGCGACGCCGCTTATACCATGTCATATCCTACGGCTATTACTCGGCCGCGTCGTATTGGACCTGCTTCTACGACTTTCGGGGCTGGTTTCGGCACGCGGCTCGATTCTCGCAGGTCCTAGGGCAATTCGTCGCGTTGTGGTCTTGATGTTAAGGGGTAACGTTGCCATGAGCGTAGACCTTAATCTCTTTTCGGACGATGTCGCGCTAATGCATCTCTATACCCTGAAAAGTATGGTGCGGATGTGAATGCAGGGCGGGAGATCTCGTGCTTCAACAAAGTCTGCCTGCGTCACTACCCGGTACGCAACCTTAATGTCCGCCATCTTCTTATGGGGTTGGGGATCAGCCCGAGGCCATCGAGCTAGCCCTCGAGCTGGTGGTTAGCGAGGCCGAAGGGGCGCAGTCATCATCGCGCTCATCTGGATCAGCGCCATCTACAGCGTCTCTTTCCAACTGCCCCGTAGAGAGTTGTTGGCACAGGTTATCGACAAGGTAGGATGCATTAATAAGTGGAATACAATTCTTTCTACTTCGGCTCGATGTCCCGGCTCCGACGTGACGGCCAGAACCTATCAAGGGCAGCAGTCTAGGTAAATGCGCTGCTCCAACCAGCAAAATCGCTCCGAATGCCTCCGTCTGACATCACTTTGTAGGTGCGGAGATTAGACTCACTTCCGGCAAACATTGCTACCCAAGCTAATACGTGCTCATTGTGGCTCGACCTTTACATGGTCCTGGTATGGGGGATTTTGGCCTTGTGGTTGGGCCATCTGCACGCTCATGTACCGATACTCCTCTAGATGCGGTGAGTAATTCGACGTAGGAGTGCCAAAGCCCAGCATCGGCATGGGCTGCTGAGCCATTGGTGGGTTTTCCATTAGGAATCTGCATATTCTAACGAGGCGAGAGCATGGCTCAGCCGCGTCTGCAGCACGGCATTCTTGTTCTCCAGCTCATTGTTTCTTTGCAAGAGCTCAGTGAGCCTTAATTCGCTGTCGGCGTCCTGGGTTATAATCCGGCGCTCTAGAGACTCGATATGGTTCTTGGTCCGCTCGCGAATGGCGCGCTGGGCTTCTCTATCGCTGGCGCGTTTGCGTTCGAGCTGGGTAGCGGTGAGGGTGGTGACGCTGCGGGTGCCAGCCCTTGAGGGCTTACGCTTCATCCCTGACATGTTGGACGGCTTCTTCGAGTTGGAGCCGGACGAGTAGCCACTGTGAGAGGGCGACTCCTCCATACTCGGCATGTCCGGCGAGGCGATGTAATTGTGCGTACTCGTGGGGCTCGTGGGGCTCATGGGGTAGCTGCTAGTTTTTTTTGCTGGAGCTCCGCAACCTGTTTCTCGAGAGATTCAACCTTGTTCTTGTTCCACTCGCGTATGGCTAGCTGAGTTTCTCTGTTGTTAGCATCAGGTAAAGTGTACACTAGGCCATATCGCACGTCATACTTACTTGTTGCTACTCCTTTCTTTAGATATTGAAGCTAGCGGGTGAGAGGGAACACTGCTTCATATACTGTTTGCTTCCTCTTGGTGTTGAGGTTGCCCCTGAAAGCACGACTGCCGTCTTTTCTGAACTGGGCGTCCATCAAGCCAAAGCCCTCCGGGCTCTTTGAGGAAAGCATCCCTGTAACTTATGCTTATCTCGTTGGATCTTATATCGAATACAGAAAGGGGAGTATGCTTTGATCAGGTCGGCAGGAGGGGGTCTATGCCACCTTGCACTTTGGGACCCGGACGCCGTTCCCATCTTGGAAATGGTGGCAGCGTGAAAGGGGCAGCTATAGTGCACACTCAACCGCTGTCATGCCGCTAATGGTGAGAGATTTCTAGTCGTAAGATTCTTGCAGCCGGGCGCCATAGCCGCATTGCTGCATCGCTGCATCGCTGCTGAGAAGGCTTGGCTGTCTCGCGAAGCCAAAAGCTTGACTATTCGAAGTAGCGAAGGATAATGTGCGCTGAAGCTAGGCACGGGCCCGCCCAACCAGCACGCTAGCCCAAAACAGCACGTTTGGCGCATTACAGCTTTGGAAGTATTCTTCTGGAAGTGATCAGACAAGCGGGATAAATAAACGGTCAAATTACTATTTTTAAACTAGTTACTATCGAGTTACCGTCTGAGCCGCCCGCTGAGATAACTCCAGGGGCTGGCCGACACTACACGATCAACTTGTTCACGACTGGAATCGACGCCTCCTTTATCCAGCGGCTACTCAAGCCCGCCAGAGCATGGAAAAATACAAGCTAGACAGGGCCTCCACCCCCAATTCCGGATCAACTGTAACTGCGAACTGTTTTCGAACTCAGCAGAGATATCCCATTACACCAGAACCGAACCCGCATTCGCCGCCCAGACCTGCGCACCAGGTGGCGCGTGATTTGAATCCTGGTGTCCGCACTCTTTACACATCCTCGGTGGGAGATCCTTATAGAATCTTGTCGTACAATAACGACCGCTGTCCATTTCGAAGTTGGGACAGCAACAGACGGAACATTTGCCGGAATAGCTTTCACAGTGCTGGATAGGCTGCGGAGCAATAAACGAATTTGATGTTGCTGACCTGCTATCCTGAAAATTCCATGTTGAAGTTGTGGGAGAATACAATGGTTGCGCCATGAAATTGGAATCTTCTGGTCTAGATGCGCATAGCAGCCTAGATAGGGTGTTGAATGATGTGATTTCCACGGATCCGTTGCTCAAGGTTTCTTGAGTCGAGACAGTGGTTTCATTCAGCCAGCGGTTCCGTGCAATTTTCTCTTCTAGCCTCGCGATCTCTTCCCGCAGCCTCGCGATCTCTTGCAGCCCCACGTTCTCTCGCAGCCTCGCGTTCTCTTGCAGCCTCGCATTCTCTTCCCGCAGCCTCGCGTTCTCTTCCCGCAGCCTCACGTTCTCTTGCGGCGGCGTATGGTGTATTTGGGAGGGCGCTTCAGTCTTGACGACTGGTGGAGTGGTTTCCATCATGGAGAAGCTGCGGACGTGTCTCACGGTTGGTAGCTCATTGGCACCCGAGCATACTACGGTGTAGGCCATTGCCGCATTTTGGGGCTCCGGTGAGTGCCACATCGTGGCTGTTCCAGAACTTGGGAGGGTGGTTGTTGTCTCTGGCGAGAGCTGGGAGTGATTGTCCCGGCCTGGGTCGGTGTTTTGGGAGTAGAGGTTGCCACTCCACGACGACAAGGCCAGGTTGGGCGGGACGTGGCTGGCAGTGGTAGCATTTGGGTTCGGGAAGGCGCCAATGGTGGCAAAAGGGCTGATGGAGCTCTTCGGTGGAGTGGGGTACTGGCAGCTGTGTTTGCCGCGCGTGCATCCGCTGCAAGGGCTCAGGCGATCGCACTTGATCTTGCGCTGCGAGCACCGCACACAGGGGCGTTTGTCCCCGCCCCTCGGCTTCGAGGCCCTGCGCGACGAACCCCACTTATGGACCTGTGTTAGATGGCGGTGCAGCAGGTCCTTGCGCTTGAAGCCGACCTGGCAGATGTGGCACACGTACTTGTTGCTCGAGTGGTTCTTGTGATGGCAGTTTAGCGACTCGACCGTCTTGTAGCCGCGACCGCACTCCTGGCAGTAGAAAAGCGGGTCGGACGACGAATGGCGGTCCATAGTCCGGGATCGCTCTCTGTGTCTCTGTGAGCTTCTGTTGACGCATCGGTTCTGCAATTGGGGAGGCCCGAGAGTATTATCGGAGGGAGGGGAAGTACCGTTTGACCAGATCTCCGTTGTTCACTAGGGTGGCTTCGTGGGATTGTCCTGTCTCCATAGTAACGGATTGAGAAATTCGAATTTTGCTGTGAAGATGTTAGGGCGAGGGAACTGAGGCTTAGAATTTCATACTTGTTTGAAGATCTCCCTATTACCCCTAAGCTATCTTCAACTTCCTAATAGTTTGGTCATGCAAGTGTAGAGAAACAGACGAGTAGAAAGACGCTAACGCAGAGAACATTTGTGACAGGATAAAACGAGCTAATGAAAGGGCCTCATAGTGCAGGATGCAGGCAAAAAAAGATCTGTCTCGCAGGAAGTGTAAGGCAAAGAGCGGCGGGTGAAAGCAAACATGTATAGTTGGGCGCAACTAGATATATCAACATGGTCGTCACTTAACGCCCTCCGTGCCGCGCATTGACTCCAAGTCTCGACTCTCCTGGGACGACGCATCTGATGCTAATGCTCACTTCTCCAACCACCATCCACCAATTTCGCCATGAATCGTATCAAGGTGGAGCTCGGCCGTATCGGAGTTCCAGCTCTCGATAATCGCCGTGAATCCAGACGTCATCCCAAGATTATGCAGAAACGACTTTTAATGGCTTACTCCGTCAGCGTGTATGAAGATCGGCCATTGAAACGCCAGCCAATAGCTTAAAATATTCACAATCTAGGATATGTCCGAGCTCAGCTGAGTGTCAGGATTTATGAGACTACACATATATGGGGCCAGCCGGGGAAGGGCGGAAGGAGTTAAGGTGTGTGGGATGGTGGCGTGGCATCTCCGTGCCTCTGAAATCCCACGATAGCTTCTAGCTGAGTACGCCAAATGTCAAGCTCGTACTGGGACAAAATTGTACAACTACGCGTAAATACATTGGCAAACCATACCTTAATGAGCCGCGAGCTGCGGTCAACATGATTCGCGGCTTTCAGTGTCCACATTGATGCCGTGATACATCTCAAAATCCACGCAAAATGAGAGATATATCTACAGAACAATTATTATCTTATACGTTTCCGGATACATTTAAATGCTTACAATTCAAATACAAAGGTTAGAATTACTCCAACCAGCCATATCGGTGAACCCAACCGTAAAAACTTTGTGATGTAATAACTCAAACGCTTCCAACCGGAAATCGAACACTCCCGACCGGAGAGGTTCATTTGGCGGTCACACTAACAGACAGATAAGCATACGATGCTGTTTAATTGAACAACGGAAAACTCACATCGTATAGGCATAGGGTCTGGTGCGCACACTGAAGCGCCACAATTATGACAGTGGCCCATTTGTTAGGGGATTCACAGGAGCCTGGCTTAAAGCCCTTGCTGAAAAAAGATGATACAAAGCCGAAGACAACGAAGAAGAAGGACACTGATGAGATGATGATAGGTTGCGGTGATCTGCTGCGTTCCGTTGTTTCGTATAATGCAGCGTATATATGACTCCCAACACAATACCCGCTGCAGAGGATCATGATAGCCCAGCCAGTGTAGCCAATAATGATGTCAATAAAATTCATTGCGTACGGGGCAGAAGCAGAAAGAAAGAGAGAGACAGGGGGTGTAGACTCGATGCAGAGCAAGAGAAGGCAAACATGCACGGTTCGTTCAATGCAGGGCTCAGCTGCAAGAGAGAAGCGGTGCAGGAAGGAGACGCAGGATGAACGAAAGCTGCAGAGGAGCCTCCAGGCAACGAGTAGAGTAGCTGTGATTGAAGGCAATCATGCATCCTCAGCCTGGCCAGGCGTAACCAGCTCTATATCACCATGTCGGTCCTCTCCGTGCGACTACGACGATGTTGGCCGTGTGCAAAGGGGCTAAAAGGAAGACAGTCGGTCCGTCGTCGGGCGCGGTGATGCTCCAGGCTGGGTTCCACGGGCAGCCACACAGCGGACGGTATTTCGATTTTGCCTCCGAGCGAGGGAAGCGCCGAGAAAGCGATCTGCTGGATTGCTCTGGAGCGGGCGCGACTGTTGAGGCGGGCGGTGGTGGAGATCGAGGGGGAAAAGAGAAGTGAAGTGCTCCGCCACTATTTGGCTAGTTTGTCATGCACTAAGTCAACCGCTGGCGAATGAACCAGGGGAGCCATTGGCGATCACTACGCCACGCTAACTCACACTGCAGCGAGTTTCGATGCCTTCAGCGCCACCATCTTCGGTGGCCCCAGGAGCATGGGCGGCATCATATCCAACAATACCGACCGTACTACCCGCGCCGCTTGCGTGTCACTTGTCGATTCGGAACACGAAAAGAGAACAGGATAAGGTGCGGGTGGGGATTCCTGGCGACGCCGTCCACAGGCATCTCTGGGGTAGCCGACGATCTTTTCATCCGGGATGAGTAAATCTGGTGCCGCCACAAGAAGGCTAGCCGATATCTGTTGAGATCACACAAGGGGTAGCCTAAGGGCCGCCCTTGTACCACATTCGACGGGCTGAATCATAGGGTTGGGCGTTCCACCGGGTATCCGTCCGCTCGGTTAAGCTGGGGCGGGGAAAGAAAAGTGGCGTTCTGCAAAGTCTTTTGGTTTTTCGTTTATCTAATCAGCAGGCGCTATGCCGTACCGGGAGTGCGACATGTCGCACTCCCAGTACGGCATAGCGTGTATAGCGGCACAACATGCGTTCCCGTGGTTCTCATCCTGCCATATCCAAAGTTCAACGCATCAGTTATGGCATAAGATGCAGACTCTATGATTTCAAAGGAGATGAGGCTCAGTGTGCTTCTGGCCTTGAGAATCAGCTACGCCAATCTGTCTCTCGCCAACCTCACTCTCCACCTCACCAGCCTAGCTCTTTGCCTCGCCAATCTATCTATTTACCTCCCTCACGTCACCAACTTGGCTCCATCTTCTGATAATTACCGAGGGATTGAAGTGGCTGACAATCTTTCACGTCCAGAATGCGCAAATCTGGTGCCACCACCAGAAGGCTGGCTGATCTCTATCGAGATATCGTAGTTCGCATAGCGTTCCGGCACTAGGTCTGGGGATGGAGAAGTGGCGGTCCAAAGAACCTACCCTGTCAGCTCGCCGGGCTCAGCTGCGGGAAGTGGGAAGCGGGAAGCTGTGTAGGAACAAGACGCAGGATGAATGAAAGCTGCAGAGGGGTCTCTAGGCAACGAGCGCAGCTGTGATTGAAGGTAAACTTGCATCCTCAGCCTAGCCAGGAGTAGCGTTCCGGCTTTCTCGAGCTGTAGCTCACCAATTACATCTCCGTGGTCCTCTTCCTCATATCCATGGCTCCAGGGCTCCAACTCCGAAAGCCATTTGAGACAATGCTAGCATTAAAGCTCGTTACCGACCCTCCCATGCAGTAACTGACCACTTACATCTCTGCCGTTATTGCCGGCTTTCATTTCATGGCTCCTGGGGCGACACCACCGAAGATGGTGGCGCTAGAGGCATCGAAACTCGCTACAGTGTGAGTTAGCGTGGCGTAGTGATCGCCAATGGCTCCCCTGGTTCATTCGCCAGCGGTTGACTTAGTGCATGACAAACTAGCCAAATAGTGGCGGAACACTTCACTTCTCCCCACGCAAACTCCCGAAAGGGGCTAGCAGGGGATTAATAGAAGTAATAAGGGGGATGTGGCTGTCTAAAGATTGTTTTTAAATGTCCTAAAGTAGTTTGGAAATACCGCCTATGCCTCTCCAACAGCAGCCTCCGCTTTCCTTGTCTCCCTGTGCGTAATCGTGCAGAGTTGGCTTCTGTTCGCCGCGAGGCGTGCGTGCGCAGATCAGAGGCTGCACCCGGTGCCCTAATACATCAATAGCGTATTCTAGACGCGAAAGATCGTCAGCCACTTCTTGTTCACAACTGGTGATTATCGGATGCTAGGGACGCCTGTGCACGACACCGTAGGATTCCTTTTCCCACAGCATGCTGGCAACCTCGAAGAGCCAAGATTTGGACGCAATAGATTTAGGGATCTGAAGTGCAGCACGAAGAGGACCGACATGGTTACGCCCGGCGAGGCTGAGCATATCACACTGTGCAAGGTGTCGAACACGCCGGACAAGGGTTGGGGGCGGAGGGGCTTTTTAAGTCCCATGGGCGCCACTAGTGGCTGCCTTACAACTGGTTCGCACGTTTGCCAACACCCAGAGCCTCGTTCTAATGTAATAAATATCCTCGGGAAGAGCAGCTCAAAGTGCAGCTTGCTCAGGCTTCACCCAGAGATCACCACGTTTCCTCTTTCGTGCCTCAGGACCCCCATCGTGCGGCTCTGCAACGTCGCGAACCATCTCCGTCCCGCACCGCCGACACCCGTTTAGGATTCCGAATGCACACCTACTCTCCAGCAACGACATACGACTGCACCGCCCAACCATATTCAACTCGCCAAAATGGCAGGTTTGCTGCAATCCGAGTCCGTCCCTGACAACGTCTCCTTCTCTTCAGCCAGTTGACAACTACAGATATACGCAAGCCCTCATGACGCAAGCGAAGGCCTCCACGGCCGCTGCCCGGAATCCCTCATGTCCCTACTGCAGTGGCAGTGTCTTCCAGAATGACGACCAGTTGTGGGATCATGTCGTCTCAGACCACTCCCCGACTCTGCTGGGCATGGGAATTGACCCTCAGAACCCTGGCCGATTTCGAAAGGTTTTGAGAGACGAAGCTGCGTAAGTTTAGCTTTTCTGCATTCCTAAATTGGATCACCGCAAGTTCTACGTTAGGACACCGCAAGCGAACCCCAGACTGACTGTTACTCAGGCGGTTATTGGCTGACCAGACTGCGCGAGAGTCGCACATATCATCCGAGGCTACTGCAGGTGCTGATTCCACGCCTGATCTAATGCAGCTGTCATTATTAGAGATGAACGGCAGGTCTCAATCACCTCCGGGGTCAATAAAGCGGCCTGCTGGCTCTAATATCCAACCATCTGAATTACAGTCACGTGTGCCAATCCGGGACACCAGGCGGACCAAGAAGGCAACTGGCTACGAGGACCCCGCCGGGCCTTACGTGGAGGACTTAGACTACTCAAGAACCCTCCCTCTCTCCATTGACGCTGATTCATCTCCCCAACCTCAGTCCAGTAAGCGTATCAATCCTTGCTACCCAAATATCATCTTAGAGTCCAATGTACGCCCGATCTCTCAAAAACAGCTAGCTTCCGAGGTTAAGTTGATATACGCGGGTCTGACCTTTTTCGAGACCAAATGCATTCACGTTGACTTGGTTCAGGCTTCTGTACTACCCGATCCTGATGGGGATTGTAATCTGATGCCTGACCACTGGCAGGCATTAATGTCTCTGCATAGGACCTTGTTGCATGAATATCATGACTTTTTCCTCGCTAGTCAGCACCCTTCTGCCTCTCCTGCACTTCGCCGTCTTGCATCTAAGTACTCAATGCCGGCAAGGATGTGGAAGCACGGTATCCACTCTTTCCTTAAGATATTACAACGCCGGCTGCCAGAGTCCTTAGACTATATGCTAGCTTTCATCTATCTAGCCTACCAGATGATGTCTCTGCTCTACGAAACCGTGCCCACGTTTAAAGACACCTAGATCGAGTCTCTAGGAGATCTTAGTCGGTACCGCTTAGCCATTGCGGACGAGGATTTGCAAGATCGTGAGACGTGGGCCGGAGTTGCACACTTCTGGTATAGCATGGCCGCTGATAAGAGTCCATACGTTGGTCGTCTATATCACCACCTTGCCATCCTCGCTCACCCGAATGCGCTACAGCAGCTCTACTACTATTCCCGTTCTCTCACGTGTGTCGTTCCTTTCATAAGCGCTCGGGAGTCAATTCTTACGTTGCTTGATCCTGTTCTTGGACGTTCCAGTGCCTCATACACGCATTCGCTGCCCATTGATACCAGCTTTATCAGGGTTCACGGTATTCTCTTTTGGAAGTTGTCGACTGACGCCTTTGAAGAGTCTAAGGATGCTTTCCTAGGCCAGCTAGACAACCATATTGGGCGAGTAACGGCAAAGTGGAACGAGCAGGGTGTTTTCATTGCTGTTACCAATATCGCTGGTTTCTTTGACTACGGCTCTCAAGACTCACCTTTAAGACTGATTTATCAGTCATACGCTGAGAAGATTGCCCACAAATCTCAGAGACCGTCCAGTCCTTCGGAACAAGACTCCTTAAGTCGCTCGCCATCTTCTTCTTCTGTAGGACCAAGACAACTCAGCTCGGACGAAACCTCGTCGCAACTGGCCAAATTGTCTCACGATGTCGCCTTTCAGTCCGCCTGTCGTCTTACATTCTCCACCTTTGCTCTTGTTCTTGGGCGTATTGGGGATAAGAATGTTCTTCCGCATGTTCACGTCCTCCTTGCATTCCTTTCCAGTCTCTCTACGCTTTCCAGTCTCTCTACGATTCCATCCATCTCGGCCCTAGCCGACAACGCTCCTTGGGACAAAGTCGTTACCTTTCTTAACACGTTATCGAAGTCCGAAGAGCCACTTGTTAATGACGATCTTTTCCCTTCAACGGATAAAAGCGACAACGTGCCTCTGCCCGAGGATTACCTTATACGTGGGCAGGTGTGGAGCCAATGGTATTTCCCAGAGAGCTGGTTTGGTGGTGAACATGATGAGGAAAAACGTTCCCTTGAGCTCGCTTCAACGACAAAGGACAGAACCGAGCGGATCCTACGCCTTGGTCACCAAATTGCAAATGTGAGTTGAAAATTTGTCCGCACCACCCGTTGTTGCTTTTACTAAGTCTTAAGTAGCTTAAGCGCTGGATACGTTACGACCGATCTTCTAATATATGGTCTACGTCTTCTGCCTTCTCACAAGTCGCGCCAGGACACAAATCTAGTGAATATGTCCCTCAACTCACACATACGTTACTGGTCGACGACATGGACAGAGATCGGCTAGCATAGATTTCTTTGAATATATCTTATAACTTTAGCGATGATTCGCCAGAGGTGAGGGAGATTCAAGCCAAGGAGGAAAAGCTTAAGCTTGTAGAAATACAAAACAAGAACCTCCATGAGGGCTTTAAGGAGGAGAGGAAGAAGAGGCAGAGGCAACAGCCCCCTTTCAAGGCTCTGGCACGTGCAGAAGATGGATTTGCAGTTGTGTATAGCCCCAATAAGGTGCAGCAGGCACGTGACCTTCAAAAGAAAGAGGAGGAAGAGAAGCAACGTATTTTAAATGCTAAGGATGCAAAGCTTCAAAAAGCTATACAGAAGGAGGAAAAAGAGGCAGAGAGGCAGCTGCTAGGAGAGAGCCGAGCACAGAAGCTATTCACAGCTACATCTACAGCTTCAAAAAGCGAAATTTGGTTGTGATAGATGATGAGGAGGATGATGATGCACCGGAGCCTTCGGGCCGAGCTACACGTGTACGGAGGCGCCCCAAGGCACTTGACGACTATGAGGTTGTGATAGAGTGAAAGAGCGGGTTCAGTTACCTCACCTCCAAGCTCGTAGACTTGTATAGAGAGTTGTGTTGTGTTGAAAAGCTTCATTGTGTATTGTACGTGATTTTTGGTGATGCGTGCACGAGCCTGTCGCGTGCACGAGCCGGTGGCCTCTTCTATTGGGAAATAAGCACGGGCCACAGGGCTTCGGGGGCAGCATTGTGGCCCGTGCTAGAGCCTCTACTCCACTAGCACCTCGACATGTCGAACCAAATCCACTTGAAAACACATTTGAATGAGCTCGACATCTTCAACAAAGTCAGCGCCTAACAAAAACAACGAAACCAGCGTGGCCTAGCTCGCAAGTGACTGAGAAAACGTGAACGTGAGTAGGAAAGACTCGCAAGCGCATTACCAGGCAACCTTCTCCCGCACTAAGCAGCGTAAGAGCCTCATGCCGACTAGATGCACACTTGCTTCACGGCGCTAGCGTGGTGCGTGAGCCTCCTGATGCCATTATCAACGCCATCACTCCGCGAACGTGTCCGATAATCTATAACTTCAACTCGAGCCTATTGCTAGGAAATGTCTACACTCGGCATAGATATTGGAACAAGGGGTCTGTAACCGCCCTGGTTTTAAATACCACAGTGTCACAACTACGCGCGTTATTAAAGAGCTAGTCTCCGGGAACAAGTATGATTACGCCATCATCCTTATACCGCTACTCTTCTTCGACCACTTCGACGGACCATCAATCCATCAAGCTATTAGCCGAAGAGGCACGAACTACGTATACAGCACATGAAAATTTCAGCAACACTCTCTTAATGGCGGCCAGGTTGGGTCTATTATTACTTCGAGGCAAATTATATGAATGGCTGATGCGAGTCCCTTCCTCTTCACGTTGCAGCTAGCAGCTCGATCAAAAGTTCACGCGTGAGACTTCTTCGCAGGACCTAGCTATCTTCTGCTGAACCTCTGTGTAAGAGAGTTTTCGCAATTAAGAGGAAATAGCAGCTTCGTTCAAATCCGAATGCTAGCACTTAAGTACTCCCAATCTCCTTAAATTCAGGTCCATATCTCTAGGAGACTATATTAGATACCATAGAAACTTATTACCAACTTATTATGTGTAAATAGAAATTCTTCCAAGAACGATTAAAAGTTAAGAATCATGCTCACAATTAATGATCCAGATCCTGTCACTCCAAAAGCCCGGCATATCGCTTCGAAAGCCGATTACAACCCTTTTAGGCGACAGCGCAAGCCTTCAGATGCGGAGGAAGGGCGCTCCACCACTGCACCTCCCGTGTCGGCACTCAGCACAAATGTCTCTCCAGAGACTGATCACAATCAACCAGACACGTCTGCGAGGCTCAAAGAAGCATTAGATCAGAACATTCCGGCCACGCAACAGTTCCGCGCTGTCTTATTCGGGTCCTGGATTAATATGCTTCTTATTCTAGTTCCTATTGGCTTTGCAGTCAACTATTCGCACATAAATAGTATAGCTGTATTTATCATTAACTTTGTTGCTATTCTTCCTCTTGCAGCTATGCTTAGCTACGCAACAGAGGAACTTGCACTCCGCACTGGTGAAACCCTTGGTGGTCTTTTAAATGCATCTTTTGGGTACGTATCTCAACCGCATAGGCCTATGTTGCTAACTGTGATTGCAGTAATGCTGTTGAATTAATTGTCTCTATCCAAGCGTTGTTTAAAAATAAGATTTTAATTGTCAAGACCTCGTTGATCGGAAGTATGCTTTCAAACCTACTTCTGGTACTTGGAATGTGCTTCTTCTTTGGAGGTATTAGCCGATTAGAGCAGTTTTTCAACTTAACTCTCGCCCAGACTGCTACAAGTCTCTTGGCTATTTGTATTAGCGGTCTAATTATCCCAACTGTGTTCCACTATATGCTTTTAGGTAAGTAAATAAGTTCTTTATTCGTAGAGGTATTAACATAAACTCTAGTAGAGGACACTAACGCCAATTTCTTGAAGAACCAGGAGCTTTCCCATGGAACAGCCCTCATCATGTTAATCATCTACTTTTGCTACCTCTTCTTTCAGCTTAAATCGCATGCTATGATGTACAAGGAACCAAGCAAGAGAGTCGAAAAAAGAAATGGCAACCTAGACAAGGGCACTAGTAGTCGCACAATCGTAAAAATTGGCGCCATTACTGCTGCTTCTGCTGTTGGTACTGCCCAGATCAACTTCACACGCGAGGAGGATATCGAAGAGTCCCAGTTAACCCTGTCGGGTGCGCTCATCCCTTTGGGGATCTCGACCACATTGATTGCATTCTGCTCAGAGTTCATGGTCAACAGTATTCAGAGCATAACAGAAGGTGACAAAGTCTCCGCTGTTTTTGTTGGTCTTATCCTAATCCCGATCGTCGGCAATGCTGCCGAGCACGCAACTGCAGTTACTATGGCGATTAAAGATCAAATGGATCTTGCTATTAGTGTTGCCGTCGGGTCCAGTATGCAGATCGCCTTATTTATTCTTCCGCTTATCGTAATTGTGGGGTGGGTTGCCGGTAAAGAGTGCATGATGTTGTACTTTAATGCTTTCCAAATTGCTATACTCTTTATGACAATACTACTTGTGAATTAACTTATCCAGGACGGTAAATCTCGTAAGTATACCGCCTTTCTAGAATTATACTCTACTAACATTAGCTAGATTGGCTTAAAGGCGCTCTGCTTATAGCGTTGTATATTATTATCGCCATTGCTGCTTGGCTCTATCCCAGTGACTACACATCCGAGACAAGGTGTGGATAAGAAACAGGTTAGACGTTGTCGGAAGCCTCCACCAATTGACGTTCAGTCGTAAGACTTCGAAGCGATGACAGATTTCGAAAGGCTAAACTCTTAAATAATAAGATTGCGGTTTTCATTTAGTACGGATTATTGCACGGAGTACGGTTGTGGCCTAGAAACTCTTTGCCTAGAAGCGACAGGTATCAAATGGTGGCACGGTGGAGCATGCGAGGAGGCGACGTTCGTGTGGTGGTGTCGCGTGTCGCGCGAGCCGTGAGTTGCAATAAAGTTTTTTGGTGTGAATTTACCGCCCAACTTCAATCCCTGACACATTGCACGTGATATACTGGCGAGAACGAGGCTTACCAAGGGCCACCGCCTACGCACCTGCCGGATTGTCGCTTCCAGAACTCGTGTCCTTCTACTTACACTTTAAAAGCCTAAGTTAATTAGCTTTTTGTTCCCTAGCACATCAGACGAAGTAGGCAGGCACCAAGGGCTTTGCGCTTCATGTCGATCTAATCAATCTCTTGATGGTAGAATCTTCCTGACTCACGATCCTTCGCTCTCACGATCCTCTCGTATAGTCTTCTTGTTTGCACAATTTCTACGCCTAGAGCTTGAAACCTCACAATGCTGGCCTTCACCCTTGCACCCGGCGCAAGGCCCGGTAGGTCCAATAATATATTTTACTTTTCGCTCCCGGCAAATATTACAGGCAATTTTGGCTCGTGCCCCTCGTGCCCCTCTACTACGTCGCGGCTTCCCTACAACAGGAAGCTTCTTAATACTCTCCTCTTTTATCCCCGTGGATTGGCCTCGAGAAGTATTCTGCTCAATGCAGAAGCCATTCGCCCGGTTCTCGTTGACTACGTCCTTGGCGGCGTTTAGGGCTTTCTGTGCGTCGTTTAAGGACTCTTGTGCGGCATTTACGGCCTTCTGTGCGGCATTTACGATCTCTTCTATCAGTCGAACACTCATTTTGTGTTCGACTATTTGAAAAGGTTGGAGGATTTGTGCTTGGTTGGAGTCGTCAATTGGAAAAGAAGCGCTGCCGGTGCTATTAACTGCCCACATGTTAGTATATGTTATCACAGCCACAGTGACATCTTACCTAGATTTCCGTTCAATTCAGCCTTGAATTGGCGAACCTGGCTGTCCAATGGTTCAAAGCCCTCTTCAGGCATTACATATTCCTCTTGTTGTGCGGGACTCCAATCGAGGGACATATTCAAGGAATATTGGATTGTTGCCGTGGATTGGGTGTGATTTGACTCGACCGATAACGACTGATGCTGGTCAATGGTATGCGAGCATGTACACCACATCAGTGGTTCTCCATAGAATTCCGTGTTCATATAATCATGAACACTGTAATCGAATTCGAGACACGAACAGATGGAACATTTCGCGGTTGACATCCCATGCAATGGACCATTGTAGGGTTCAGCGGATATAGTATTCTTCTACTAAGGAGGTCGTATGGCTTGGAAGAATGGTAGTCGGCTGAAACGAGTTCGAGGGCGAGTTCGTCACTGCCTTCTCGGAGGCATCATATGCTCTTGTGTTCGTAATCGGGATAGGTTCCGTTGCCAGATTCGAGCGTGGGACGCAACAGGATAATTGAAAAGTTCAGAGGAGCGCAATTATGCAAGGGAGGCTCCAGGCGGCGGGAAGCTGGAGTGACAAGAATTGCAGCCCTATATTTATGGTAAACGTCCGATATCAGACACAGGGTGTGACCTTATCGTACTACTGACGCGCGAGGTGGTGTCTCCTTTGATACGTCAAGAACACCACCTAGGTTTTGGTCACCGCCGCCGCCCGACACTGTCCGGAGACCTGAATGCGGCAAATGTTGTTGTGAGTAGGTTAGAGGCTCTTGGTGATACGCGTTCATGTTGGCATCAGTTTAAGGGAAATGACTAGAAGGGACAGAATTGTGTAGGAAGGCAACCGGTGAGAGAGCGGTAAGGCAACGAGTTGGAGGATCTCTTAACTGCGTTGGGCAATATGGTTGACGCGGCGTAGGTTGCAGGCTGAGGCAGGCAAACTTGCAGACACCCAAAAGGAAAGCCTAGGGCGTGTTGATAAGCAGTTGCTGGAGGAGAAGATTATGGAATTGAAGTTGACCTCCTTAACTGGCACATGACACAAGTCGTGCGGAAGGTCCATGGTTAGTTTTGGTATTATAACAGTCACTACACCGGTACTAAATTAGGTTCTAGGGGCAAGAACGGCATCACACGAGGAAGCGAGCAAGCCAGCTGATCGACCCCACGAGCAGCAGCTTCAAATATGCCATATGATCCCGTAAGAAAAAAAAGCCGATGCAAACTCCTACTGAAGGCCAGCGATGGATTGATAGAGTTAAAAAGGGGATATAGCTGTTCAAAGACGGTTTTAGATGCCCCAAGTAAATCGAGAAAAAAACGCTTATTTCTCTCACCTGTGCATAAATATCCAGATTTGGCCGCGATTATGCTCACAACCAGGCACCCTCTCATATTAACATCTCATCTGGGATGGATTCGGTTTAGCGTCTGGCCAACTTTGACTCTGCCGCCTATCACTCACTGCCCCTTCGCAGCGGGGACCAGTCACCTCCTCACTTCCTCACCTTCCTCCCCCCCAAACCCGCCCTTCAATCCTCTTGCGCCTTCTCGTCAAAAGACCTCCGTCACGCCTCCTGTCTGTAGCGATGAAACTCTACCCCTGGAACCCATCATCGAGAAACAGAATCGAAGACCGAGAGAAATACAAGAATGACTTATTAAGGGCTGCACTCAAGTACGGCGGCTGTACTGAATATGTTTACATCATGCCCTCCGAGCCTGCTAGTGGAGATTCGGAGGATAGCTTTTTCAACAAGGCGTTTGAAAACGCGTTGTCAAAAAGCTGGGAGTCCATCCTTGTTGACTTATCAGTTGATCGCACCCTTTATCTCAACGACACGTGCAATGATTTACATGTGGTAGGCATTGATCATGCAGTGATATTCTCAATTACTGATTGAAAATTCAGTTTCTTGGAAAGAACTACTACCACCAAGACTTGCTTGGGCGCAAGAATCATCTGCAGCAGACGCTATTGCAGGTGACCATGAAGGAGCCAACCCCAGATATAGATGAGATGAAACAGCGGAGATTGCTTGCTATCAAAAATGGCAAGCAGCAGAGAAACTAGAGCTCAGCGAGCAGCGAATCGCTTCCGATCGTATCAAAAACACGGACCATCGTTTTTCTTGGAGCTCTCCGACCCTCTTCCTGAAATCAGAAACTGCTCTCTCCACCAAACACTCCTTATCGTTCAGAGAAAGTAGAATTATATCCCCGTCCAGATCCATCACTCCCCGCTCATACATCAAGACTGGATTGTGTCTGCGCGTAGTAATACCGAGATGTTCATTTGTAGGCGTCTTTTGTACCAGCGAAATACCGTAGGAGGAGAATTTGTAGTAGTAGACGTGGCCGTAGCGGCAGCTCTCAGTCGCCTTTCCCATCACACTCTCCCACCCTAAATTTGTCCTTCCCCTGCTATCAGAATCCGATGTAGACCAGAATAGCCATTAGAGGGCTCACATCTGTCCACTCCCATCTCATTTCCTGCAGAATCACCGCAGCTCCGTTGAGCTCCTCCAGTTGGTGTTCGGGCGTTTCCCAAGACCGGTGTTTGGTAATGCGAACAGTATTGTTATTGTCATCTCTATCGTCGCTGTACGAGGTGTTGCTGGTGCAGGGCGATACCGATCTTCGTGAGGATGACGGGGTTTGAGATCGTCCCCCTGACGTCGAACTTGGATTTGACGTTAGTCTTTGGCTGATACAGAATATTTCATCTTTACCTAGAGCTCATGGCTTCGTGCTCAAGGAACACGGAGGCTTGTTACAAGGGTTCTGTGCCTGGAAGAGAGGTTGTGCCATGTTGGAAAGCTGGGGTTTATCTGAAGGAGTCTCTGCGGGCGAGGATATGCAGGAGCAAGAAAGCCACTTGCACAGATATTGTCCGAGCATTACCGCCCGCATTGTATGCACAGATATCTTCCAGTGATCGCTCTCCACCGCCCGGCGGCTATCATCCACACTTTACCGCTCTCCAGCCTCCGGGGATAGTCAGAGCAGCCGACGCCACTTGTTGGTACATCCTGGCGCTTCACATCGTTCGATATCATGCTTGTTGATAGAGCCTGATGATTTCATTTGACCACATGCACAGAACTCATGCGGGTCCCCCGCCACCATGCTGCAGCCATCACTTGCAGTTCTAAGGTTCTGTATGGTCATCAACTTTCGGTGGCTTTCCACAGGCCCGTGCAATGGCGTTTATGGCATCGACACGGTGCTCGAAGAAGAGGAGCTTAATTGGCTTGGAATATGATATATCACAGACACTCGCCGCTCGCCCACGGTTATCCATCAGCACGATGTGTGATTATACTCAGGTTCACTCAGGTTGCAGCACTACAACCTAGGATCAACAACTCATATGCCAGAAAGCTACTCTCCGAACATCAGCTGTAGAGAACCCAGCTGAAATCTCAGCTGTAGAGAAC